TATTACAAGAATATTTATGTTTATGCTTAAAAGTAAGTGGAATCTGTAAGCACATCAACAAAATTCTTTGCACTCGTTTCCACACCACCTGTGAGATAGAGTCCCTTACGCGTTTTAGTTTTCCCTGGAAGCCTAACCCACTATCTTTACAAAAATAGAACGACTTAAATAAAAAATAATAATAAATGTATACTTACTTACCAAAGGCGAGGGGTAGTGAATTTTCACAATCTGGATATTTGGTCACAAGAAAATCCTCATGAAATTTGGATAAGATCTTTTCAACACGAATTTTCTGTGGACGTGTGGCTCGGAATAATTCGCAATAAAGTTTGTGCACCTTTCTTCTTGCCACTTCCTCTAAATTTCCAGTCATTTATAAACTTTCTAGAAAACCATCTATTTTAATTATTAGAGGATGTTCCATTAAATATACGACAAAATAGCTGGATACAATGGATGGTGCTCCTGAGCATTCTGGGAGAATAATATAAGAATGGCTTAATGAAAATTATATGGGGCGATGGATAGATAAAAGACCAAATGCCAATGTCAACCATAATGGTGCAGAGGGTCCAGTGTCTTGACCAGCCAGACTGCCATATCTAAACCACCTGGACTTCTATGTTTGGGGTTATCTGAAAAGTTTATTCTACTCCAACAGATATAAGACCACAACTACTGTAACGAATAGAAGAATAGAATAGAATGAATTAAAAGAAAACCACCACATGATATTAGCTCCAATTAATTCCATTAATAGAAAATGTCAGAAATGTATCGATGTGGGTGGTTCGCATTTTGAACAATTGTTGTAAATACGTAACGTTAATTTTGTTTCTTGTTTAGTTGCTGTTGCTTGGTAAATATATTTCTATTATTATTTTGATTTAAATTGTTCTTATTTGTAAAGAGTATTAGGCCTTCAGGGAAAACTAAAACACGCCAGGAACACTCACAGGTGGTGTAATAAGATTGTAAATAATTTTGTTTATGTGCTTACAAATTTCACTTACTTTTAAGCATAAACATAAATATTCTTGTAATATTATGGTTAGAAGTGTCTGCCACAAAGGGATTGTATTGGTATGAATAACATGAAAACGGCGAATCTTAGGAAAAAAATTAAAGTCACCTTTCTTACGTATTTTGTGCATTAGAATATAAATTTGTTACAATGACTTGTAAAAAATGCAGTGGCGTAGGTTTTTTTGTAAAAAAGGGGTGACCCTTGTCCAGTTGTACACCACTGGTTGAACTTTTAAAGCTCATATTTTAGGGAATGTAAGGTCTACTATCGTACATTATCTATACCAAATTTTATTGACATCGGTTAATAGATTCCGGAGATATAAACAAAAAATCAATTTTTTTTAACAACTTCAACACCCTGTATCTCTAAAACGGGGCTGTTCCAAACCAATGTTTATAAGGCAAACACATATTATTTTAAAGGGATCTATCTACCCTCGAAGTTTCCTGCATAAAATTCGGACCACCCTGTATAACAGTAGCAGTTTTAACAGAAGTGCTACCACAAGTCTTTAAACAAGAATGAAGAAGAGAACGATGTATCTTGCGAAACGTCAAGTAGTCTAAACCGACATTGTGGTTTTCAAATTGTTGCTAAATTACTTAAAAGATTATCCAAAACATTCAAGGAAATACAAAAATTAATTATGTAATAACAACTTAACTAGGGATTTTTTTAAAACTTCTCAGATGTTGATAATTTGAATTTTTAGATAAAAAAAATATATCTTATCTTTTAAAACGATATTCAATAGATTCAAGAAGATAAGAAATGTATTACCATTATGATTCTTATTAGAATATAACTGAATTAGTTTGTTACAATATATTATCAAACATGAACAAGCTGTTATTTATTGGTTTAGAAGTAATTTTAAGTGCAAGGTAATTCCTTTAATAATAATAATTATATTGATATTAATTATATTTTTTTAAATTTTTTAGGTTAGGTATATTAATCATTTCTTTCGTTGATTAAATTATTTAAAATTTCAACATTTCTCTAGCACAGCACTAATTTATTATTTATTAATATTAATTTATTATTTAATTTATTAAATTGTCATTCTTCACAGTGTCAACAATAATCTTCCAAGTAAAAATGAATTAAATGAAAATACCATAAGACAAATAAGATATAGAACTTATCCATAACTTTTATTTTACAATTAAATTATACATCGTTTGTAAAATTGTGAAAATTCTACCTAACATATAAATAAAATAAATTGGCTCTTTGCAGGGCATTTTCCTCTTTAGATGCAATGTGAAAAATGAGCCAGTATTGTTATATTTCTGTAAACTCAGTTCTTTCATAGAAAAAATATGTTACAGCTTTGTTGTCGGAGAAAACAATAAAACCTTTCCAGATAATTTTATGTTCGGAGTAGCTACATCAGCGTACCAGGTAGAAGGTGGATGGGACGAAGATGGGAAAGGAGAAACAATATGGGACTATTTAGTTCACCATAAACCCACTTACGTAGTCAATAATAACACTGGTGACATAGCGTGCGATTCTTACCATAAATATGCTGAAGATGTAGCACTTGCTGCTGACCTAGGAATAAGGCACTACAAGTTTTCCATATCGTGGTCAAGGTAAGAATAAGTGTTTCTAAGAATACTTCTATTTAAAAAAACAAAACAAAGAAATTAAGTCATTGTTTTTGTTTTTATTACTTTGTCTTGTGTCCATGCGTGGACAGCCGTGTACCTGGCGTTAGATGCTTAAACTAGGTAAATAACAATAATTTCGAGGATTTACCAAAATAGTATTGCCATCATGGCGATATTGGGAATATCTGAAATGTACAAAATTTGTTCACCTTAATGGTACCGTCCAGTAGCAAATGGTGCTCAATTTGAACATTTAGGCACGGTACTTTGAGTCTTGATTAAGGCTTAATTAACTAATCAGGCAATTAGACTGTGATTATACTTTATAAAATAAATCAGAATATGTACAGTCTAATCGCCTGATTAGTTAATCAAGCCTTAACGGAGACTCAAAATACCGAGCCTTACTGTGATATTATGGATGTTTGTTAAATGTTATAAATTAATGTAAATGTTATAAATTGTTTCTGATAAACATGACATTTTTCTGACTTTAGAATCACTTAGACATAGAATGAAAAAGTTTCTAAGGTAAATCACTTAATTTTTAGATCGTTAGTACAACAGTAATATTAAACCGAATTTAGAAAAACAAACTATCCAGTTCTGATGAAAAAATGTGGGTTATTTAAAAGTATATTTCATGCTCTCCTTGATTTTACATTTACGTAACTAAAATTTAAACATAGGTACTGAAATTAAAGAAATCATTACTTACTTTCTTGTTCTAACTAAAATGTAGTAGTATATTCCATTAGGAAATAAGAATTTTTCCGTGCACGTGTGACAAATTCTCGTGTGAGGCGAAGCCGATAATAAATCTTATAAGGGGCAGAGACGGATCCGTATTTTATCAAATATTATTAACAAATTCAGTCATAGGTGGATCATGTCATTTGTTTAAAATGTGGCAGATGACACATTAGTTTTCCAATAATTACAGTTTTATCAGCTTGCATCTTTCAATTTAACTATACTAGTTATAAGTTTTAGTATTGGCAAATGCAGTCTATAATTTGTTCTAAGAAAAAATGTTCATGTTCATATAGCTGTTCATTACTTCAGATAAGCAGCCGTACTTTCTTGTTGAGCAGACTTAGTTATTATTAACGTCTAACATGGCAGGTACAGTTCTTAGGCTTGCTGATAACTGATGACTGAATGATTTAAAGGAACGTAGAATGCGAATTAAATAAAATTATACAGTGGTTTCAATACAACAGATTTACGTTAAATTTTGATAAAAATACTTCCCTTTTGCTTGTTATAGTACCAATCTACTTAATATAGGTCCTAATATAGGTCCTAAAAAAAAAAAGTTGTCTGTACGTTTCATGCGACATTATCCGTAGTATTTTTGTCTCCTGACCACAAATCCGGTGTCATAATTGAGCTATCACATCACAGGAATTTCCTAACCTCAAAAAAACAGCTCAAAAATAGCAAAAATTCACGTCATTTTCTTACGACCCTGTAGCAAATTTTGATTTGTATATTATGCCGATTATTAAGCATATAAATAGTAATATAACCCCAAAATTTCGCGATTTAATATTAAACCGTTTTGAAGTTATGCAATAAAAACTGTTTCCCGAGTTGCCCCTTCAATGGATTGTATCTCCCTTAGGGCCGCCACTGACAAACACTTTACTAATATTTTCATCATATTCCGACACGTTTTGCATACCCTCCAATTTTGAGTACTTATTTCGTTAACACCTTCTTCTTCTTCTTCTACTTCTAGTGGTTGGTCCTAATAAGTCCCATAGCACTGCGGCCTGATTAGGCCTATTGTCCGTCCCACTACTAGTCTTATTCAGCAAGTAGATTTGTCCTTTTTACAAAGTCCAAAAGCTTCCTTGCTGACACTTCTCTCAGTTCCTTGGGTTCC